AAATTGACATTCACTATAACAAATATCTCATCAAAGAGCTTAGATTTATGGTATGTATGCAAAGGTTGTAGATGAACCACACCATTTTACGAACTCGTTTGCCTGAATATGGTTGTGATGATGATGCCTGAGCTGAAGGAAAATAGTCTAGCACAACCAACCTACTCATTAGTAGTCTGTCGTCTGACAGCCCTCATTGGAGCCGGGTATTATTCCTGCGAAGAAAAGTTGGCTTTCAAGGAATCTCTCGTTTATAATTGTTGAGCGCACTTCCATTTCGAATGAAAGTGTTTGGTAAAGAGACTCATAATTGGATCCTGCCTATATATATATTTATATGTATATATAAAATTTGCATTGACTTGAACAAATATCTCATCAAAGAGCTTAGATTTATGGTATGTATGCAACAGTTAGAGATGAACGACTGAATTTTGAAGACTCGTTAGCATAAATATGGTTGTAAGGATGATGTTAGTGGCTCTGAGGATGTCTGTCATGCGAAAGATGAAATCTTAGCCCATTTTCACCGGAATTGAAGAAGATTGTTTCGGAAATTTCGTCAAGATAATGCTCCTGCAAAGCTAGTCAACTGGTCGTCTAGAGAAATCCGCAAGTGTCTGTCTTCCGGTGGAGCCTACCTTCTTAGCTCTTCACCAAACCCATCCACTCGAAATGGAATAACGCTAAACAATAAGAGTTCCAGTCACTATAGGTCGTATGAAATGATAATAAATTGGTACTTGAATCTTCCAAAACTCGTGGGGTACTTGTCAAATTTCCATTAGCCTTCAAATGACTTTAGCTCTCAAAAATATTTCACATCTGAATTTGGCATCTGAGCTCTACCTGAAACCTATTCCTTACATCACCTTACATTAAATAAGGTAAATACATCTCATGTTACTGATTTACTAACAGTCTCAAAACTCCACTTATCTAAGAATAATATATTTTTAGTCTATCTGGCTCATTATCGCAATAATCTCTTTCGGTAAATTTAATACTTAGAAATTACATTTAATTTAAAATTGCGACCATTATAATGTATCTATGCTTTAAAAAGACGTTAAGGCATGGGCCTGTATATGGTAGCTCCTTGGGTGTATTCCTGTCTGATTCCCCTTTTCCTTTGACAGCCTAAGCCTCTATAAATGTTTTACAGTTATCCTTTTCTAGTTCTTGTATAAACCTAATTATCTAATCTATAAGTAACGTATTGTCAAGCATGACTCTTTCATGAAGTGTTCCTTCATTCCACAAACCTCGTACCGCCTAACGAAACCTATCGCTAAAGCTGAAGTGTGTACTACTGATTGATAGATTAAGTAGTCTTAATGAACCTTTACCCAGATTAACTCCCTCAATAATATTTGGATGTTCGTCCAAGCTGAGTATTATTGCTTATGATTCTCTTTTATACATTAAAACTTGCCTTGAATAGAGCAAGAGGAGAAAATAAGAAAAAAAAGATTTATTTAGTTTGTTCTTTTTACCATTTACTTATACTTGAGAAACTATGCGCGAGATTTTGTGTGCGTGCCTATCTATTATCATTTATATTCTTATAAGTCAAATAATGAAATACTAGCCATAAATAAGAGCAGTTACAATTGAATCTAACACCAGTTCTGGGTCGTCCAGTTTTAATGAGCCATTGGAAAACATGAATAGGAATGCGTACTATCGAGTTTTTAGCTATAATCGGCGTTTTTCCTCTCTAACTTATACACATACGGGTGTTAACATACAAAAAATCATAATTAAGGAAAAAGAAATCCTTTTATGATTATCTATCAATAATACATTTCATCGTTTATGCTGTGAGCATGTAATTCATGTAGGAGTGAGAACACAATCTTCTTTACTTTGTATCAATTTTAATCTTTTGTATAAATGAGTTTCAGCTCTGAAAATGTCTCGTGTCAACACGAAACGGGAATCAGTCATCGTTTTCTGGTGAGATCAGCCTACGGATTTACTTATCACACACTTTCACGTGAAATGAAAGTCACCGCAAGAATGGTTTTGATACAAATGAATGCGTATATGTGCCTACAGTTGAGCCTATTCAGCTTCAATTTTGCTTTGGGTTAATGGAAATAATAATTGTCAAGATGGTCTTCGAGGCTCCCAAGTTTGATGATCTGTATAGAATAACGAACAAAAGTTCGGTTTCAAGGAATCTCTTGATCAAAATTTGTTGAAATTGCTTCTATTTCTTGGGATAGTATTTGATGAAGAGAGTCAAGGCTCGATCCAAACCAGTGCCTGGTTTTGCAGGAATCCTCTGGTTGACACTGTCATCAAACTGATGTTTTACTACGCTTTTTGAAACCGAAACCAGCCGAAGAGTTGCCGAGTTATGATTATGCTGGCTTGTGTATCTTTGTATTCACACTAACGCACTTATGCACATCCTTTTAGATTGGTATATAACACAAATTTCACAAAATAGCATGAATTTAGCGCATATTTCCAACACGTAGAGAGATGAGCCGGGGTGCTTTCTGGGCTCGTTGGATTGGGTAAGGTTGCAAAAACTATAGTCTATTCGGGTACTGCCCATTCTATGAAAAAAGAAAGTTTGGCGAGTTTTTATAGGAATCACATGAGATTGCGTCGGATACATCCACAATCAAGAGGTTCCACTACTGCCAAACGACAGCTGAGGAAGAGGATTTTTCTATCATTCACTGTTCGGTGCAAACTTTGTATGAATTTTTCTGATGTTTCTTTTAATAAATGACCAACTTCAAGCAGAGTCTTCATTACGCCTTGAATAAAGGTTTTTACATCTCTTTAGTATCAGCAGCAAACCCAACAAGATTTAGATCAAACCAGAACTTAATTTCCAAATATTCTGCCAAACTATAAAATTAAAAAACACATATAAACTTCTATCACTACTTTCCATTTACTATTGCATTTTCAATTACTATTGCAAAGATAAATTTAACGCAAATCTCAAATTCTTTAAAATTACGCTCATAAATTGGGCTTGCAGTCGTCAATACGAAGGTAGATTAGCCAATTCTACCCTGCTTACAGCCATCTGTGTTTACTATAAATCCAGATAATGAAAGAATAATTAATAAATTTCTGCTCCCACTTTAGTTGTACTACTGATTTTCCCATTTATGGTGTGTAATTAAATTTGATTAAAATTGTCAAAATTACAAAATCTTCTGAATTGCACTCATTAACTGTACATGTTTCTCACATTTTGTAACATAATATTCATAAGAAGTTCAGTGAAATTTATCACCTCGTTGGTTTTTTATATTTACCAATAAAACAAATCAGGCCTAAATAAATCACAAGTAATTTTGTCGATTGCTTAAGCAAATAGAACTTTGCTTCATCAAGAATCTCATTACAGAATGTGACATGGAAAAATGCTTGGTATTAATTTAAATTTATATGTGTTCTGTGACCCAAAGAAACCCGTGGGAATGTGGTGTTTTTTAATGTTTCTACTGCATCTGCGGGTGTTGATAAGACCTAGGCGAGGTCAAACTGCAGTCCACTTCAGCCTGAATGAATTTTGGAAAAATATGGCTTTGTAAAATTTAATGAGAAAGTATGGTTTACTCGTATTATTGTGGGAAAAATTCAACTACATATCCCTTTACGACCTTAAGCGATATAGGGTGAATACACATCATATATAATTATCAACAGTGTTGATAAATTTCTATCACTACTTTACTTTTCCTACTGAAGTTCATATGAGTAGTTTTTAAATAAAATGAGCAAAAATTACGAAAATTTCGATTTATTATAAATTACACTCATAAGCTGAGCTTTTTTATCCTCTTTTTCAGAACTTGATGCAGAACGATATCAATCAAGTTTATCACGTCGACGGCCTCCTGAAGCACGAACAAAATCGTGCTTTTGCTGACCTAAGACGTCCCACAGACGGTCGTGCAGAATGGACAAGTGCAAACGACGGCCAGGACCTATGGTGAGAGACTCAGAATTTAGTCAGCCAAGGTGAATTAAAGACTGATATTTGCGAGTTATCACAATCATGTGAGTGACCTCGCTTGAACTGGTCCCCTCAACATGCCCAAGAGGATTTGATATTTGCTCTTGGGTCTGATGGCATCTGTAACACCCAGCTACATGGCCACGACAGCCGATGGGCGACAGAATAAAGCATTCCTGATTTTCAATTTCGAGAAATCGACTTTTTGATTGCCGTCTAAAGTTAATATATTACTTATTTTCGTAGTAAGTAGCTTTCGTGACTATCAGTAATTTTGTAAGCTATCTTTGCTAAATACGATTTTATTCCAGTATTACTGATTGTTTCAAAAAGTGCTTATATCTAAAATATATTGCTAAAGGACTAAATCAGTGTATTATTTGCGTAAGCTTTCCTCAATTTTATGCTAATGCTGCTGTTGTTGCTGCTGCTGCTGCTGTCGTTTATACTTTGTGCGGCCGGTGTGCTTGAATGCAAGAAGACGACAGTCTCTTCTGCCCAGCATATGGTCGCTTGTTTCGTCTCACACGTCACTGCGCATCTTCAAGCAAATACTCCTCCAACTTGTCGGCCTCCTCTTCTGTCCGGCATGAAAAGGATTTTGTAAAATTTACTTCGTCGTTGTCCCGGAAGAGCTCAGACCGTCGGATTTTGATGAGAAATTCCTTGATTGCGATGGATGAAAGTGATCTTAAGCAATTTATTTGCTCACCTATTCTTTTCTTGCTGCCTCATTATTTGCTTCATTGGTGTTATTTTTACTTGTCGCCAGATAGTCACTTCATGCCCTACGGTTGTGTCTGGTTTGTGTGCATGTCGTCAGGACTGCTGGTGACTCTTTTGATTGTTGTCGACCGTTGGGAGTTGAAGAAGTAGACCGGCGCCAAAACCGTGTCTACACAATGCCAGTTAATGCTCTCGGAAGCTGTGATTTTAGCGATGCCCATTTTATGCAGCGCATCATGTCTGGGCTTGTCTGCTTGTACCCGTCTGTCTGGCTGACCACTCTCCCAATGAGTCGTTGATGGTCAACGGAGATGTAACTTTCTCAGATGAGCAGTCGGTCACCAGGCCCCAGGCCGTAAGCGCCCATCTATGGACGGATAAAGTAACATTGTGACATGAATTTCCATTTCGAAGTAACTGTTGGTTGGAAGCAATTCTTGAAATGGTCTCACCGTTTCTCTTTTCGTTTAGCATCGTTTGTGCCCCATTTCGTGCATTATGCCTTTCTTCTGCGAAAATGTCTTCCACGTTGGTACAGAAGAAAGCTTAACACAAGTTTATTGAAGGGTCGCAGTAGAGTGAGATATCGACGACTTGTTCACATATTCCAACAATCCTTACTCCATTCCGCGTCAATCCTCTATCGGTTTGAGGTGAAAACGCCTGCAAGTCACCGGTAAAATGCAACTTAAGAAGACTCAATTTCACACTGTACTCATATTGAAATAAGTAGTCTCTTGTCTGGAGGCTGGGCCCAAACTGTCGCCTGCAAGCTTGTGTGAATAAAGGAGAAGTGGGAAAGTGGGAAATGAGATAGAAACCATCCGACGCATATGGTTTGCCCAAAATTCACTCAGGGCTATTACAAGGAGGGATGTTTACTTGTACACAATAATAGCAAATATCTGTAACCTGAAGTATTCGATATTGAATTGCTATTGCTCCGTTAAGATGATAGATGAAGCGTTAGAGGAAAGTGGTGATTTGCTGAGAAGTTGCGATTTAGTGTCCATGTTACTTACACAAGCATTAGGGATAAGGTGAGATCAATTGCCTGAGTTTTTGAAGTGCAAAAATAACTTAATGAGATGTATTCACCCTATTTCGTCTAAGGTGATGAAGGACTGGTAGTAGAATTTTCCCACAA